TTTTTTTTTTTTTTTTTTTTTTTGAAAAGATCATAAATCATGAATGGGCTGGGTTTAAACAGCCCAAGACAGTAAATAGCCCAACCAGCTGCTTTTCAACTCCCAACGCAATTTTCACTCAAAAATTCGATTCTGCCGCCACTGTTTCTACGTCATGTCCTATTCCTCTTCCCGGGAGGTAATCTTACCGCCTCAATGGTCGGAGGCGGTGATCACAATCGCGTCCTCTTTTCCTCCGCCGCCGATAACCCTAATCTGCGGCCCTAAAAACAGCGGCAAGTCCACATTTTCCCGATTCCTCCTCAACTCTCTCTTGCAAAGGTGCTTCCTTTCTTGCTCTAGTTTTGCCCTAGTTATTGTTTTGGGATTATTTTTATTGATTTTTTCCAGGTTGTAATTAGGTACAAGAGAGTGGGGTATTTGGATACTGATGTAGGGCAACCGGAGTTTACTGCACCGGGATGTCTCTCACTTCATGTTATTGATGATTGTTTATCTGGTAAAACTTGTGTTTGCTTATTTTATTTTTAATATTTTAATTAACGGTAGGTTTCGATGATTGGTTTCTTTTTCTGGGTGCAGATTTCACGAATCCTTGTATTAAAGCCCCTGAGAAGTAAGCATATTGATTTTGATTTTGGATTGTCAATTAAATTTCATTTTTAGGAATTTTTTGTGTTGATTTAATTGTTAAGTATGGGCTTGCTTTGGATTTTTCTTGACATGGGTATGTATTACTTTTGAAGGTATAACTAAAGAAAGAACCTTAAATGCTAATGTCATCTGTAGAGGACATTAATCAAATAGGCTCCTTTTTTATACAAAATTTTGGACTGTAGATGCTTACTATTTTCATTAGAATTTGCACGTTCAACGTGCCTTTTGATTACAGTTCCAAGTATTTTACAGTTAAATAGGAAGTTATGCGCTCCATGATTGATATTGGATTGGGACACTCCTCTTACTAATTCCCTCTCTAAATGAGAACTATCTCTCTGGCATGCCTATTTGAGTAATGCAAAATATGAAAACATTGCTTGGGGAGTAAGTCTCAAGATTGATTATTTGGCAAAATTGATCTTGAATGTTTCATACTGCACAAGATCAGGCTTTAAATTGAAGGCAAGAAAAGATAAATGGATTAGAATGTAATATATGATAGGAGAAAATATTTGACCATATAAAGAGAATTTTGGTTTGGTATAAGAAAACATGCTATAAAACATAGATTTAAGAAAAATACTGTTTCCACCATTCACTTTTGTGCCTACTTGATGCATAGACAAAATAACTTTTTTTTGGGGTGGGGGGGAGTATAGACATTAAATGATGTTGATCAATTTTAACAGAGTGGACTCTAGTAATGGATTCCTGAACATCAAGTTCCAATGAGAGTTTTTTGCTCCAAATCTTTCCCAAATGACATTTTGCCTATGGTTATAAGTTCTTTTTTAACATAGGACATAATTTATGGATTTTATGTGGAAACTGATCTTCATTAGTTGAGTTTATTTTTACTGGGTGACATCTTTAGCAAGTAATTCATAAATGTCTCTTCTATTTTCATTCAGTCCCATCTGTTTCTTTGTGGGTGACATCTTTAGCAAGTAATTCATAAATGTCTCTTCTATTTTCATTCAGTCCCATCTGTTTCTTTGTCATTGAGATTTCTTCTTTTCCATTCATAAATGTCTCTTCTATTTTCATTCAGTCCCATCTGTTTCTTTGTCATTGAGATTTCTTCTTTTCCTTTCAGGTGCTTCTTCTTTGGTGATACATCTTCAAAAAGAGATCCCAATGCTTACTTAGATTGTACCTTCAGCTTATATGATTGCTTTCTCAAGGAATTCTATCAGTTGAAGCGCAATGGTTCCAGAAAATCAATGTCGCCACTTATTATTAATACACCAGGATGGGTGAAAGGTGCGTGTGAGGATTCTCAGATTTTTTTAATAGCAATTTTATTAACAACTGCATTATTTTGTAAAACTAACTGCTTACACGTAACCTCTTGGAATTTGCCTGTATGTTCCTTTCACAGAAATTCACAGCACTTCTCATCCTTATGTCCAATAGTTTCCATGTCTTGTTTATAGTATATTTTGCCTTTAATAGTTTTGCAACTTATGGCATTTTTTTCATATTAGGTACTGGATTTGATGTGCTTGTGAAGATGTTGAGATACATTTTTCCTACTCACGTGGTTCAATTACGGATTTCCGCTGAGAGTAAGAATCTTCCAACTGGGATATTCTGGTTGGATCAACATGAACACAAGGAACCTATCAATTTGTTTGAGATTCATTCAGCACAGAGAGACTTTTTGGACCGATCGTGAGTTTTCAATCACTCTTTAAAGTTTATAAGTTAAAGGTTAAAATAGTTAATTAGAAAGAAGCCATCTGTTGTGCTGGATGATATACTAACTAGAAAAAGCTGCACTCCATATGCCTATCATGTCCAGGAGCATAAGTATTTGTATTTCAGACAATACCTCAGTTGCATCCACTTAACTCTAGCTGATCAAGTGGGTGATTGATTTCAAGTATTGTAAGAAATTGTGGAGAGAGTGAAATCTAATGTAATTAGCTTTATTTGTTTAAAATATTCAGGTTAGGTATTCCAGACACATTAATTGTGAAACTCAAACTCTTCCTCCTGTGGTTGGACATATTCAACTTATGTTAAACAGTTTGTTTGCCTGTTTGCTGATTTATATATTGACATTCACTCAAAACGGTAATTNCCCCACCCCCCCCCCCCCCCTTTTTTTGTTTTTTTTTTTTTTTTTTTGGGGGGGGGGGGGGGGGGGGGGGGGAGGGGAGGAGAGAAAGGAGAGGGTTGCAGGATTGATTGCTTGGTAAAAAGGCTCATCTTGAAATTCTAGATGAAGCAGATCTTCCTGTGAAGAATTAGACAAGTGACCTTAAGGTGAGGACATTTCGTCAATAGTATTTCTAGACCTTAGGTTGTACACTATCTTATCGGGTGCCAAACGTATGGATATTAAACTCACAATTTAATACACCTATTATGAGAGTCGATGCCTTATCCTAAGCTTGAGCTTTAGAAATTTACTATCTTGCACCTAGTGAGATTTCTTTTGGGGGCTGTTTGTAGGTTTGATATAATTTCTCGCCCCTGACCTTCGAGATTCTGAGTTATTGAGGTTTTCAGGATACAGGAAGAAGTTGTAAGACTAAGACCTCCCAATCGCTAAGTTGCATGTATAAGGGTGCGGGTCTGGCCGTATGGGTGCAGGTATGGGTATGGGACACAACAGATTTGTAAAAGGTAGGGTCAGGGGACGCGGCTGAAACATAAGGGCTGAAATCATAGTTCCAAGATGAATATGCAAATAACCCCTGAAACCTTAGGGTGCATTTGGCAACTTCAAAATTGAACTAGGCTAGACTAGCTTTTTCATATGCAACATGAGAATAGAATATGCAAATAACCCCTGAAACCTTAGGGTGCCTTTGGCAACTTCAAAATTGAACTAGGCTAGACTAGCTTCTAGCGGTTCCTTTGTGTATTAATTTATATAAAATCTCCAGAGTCTTCTAAATAATGTACAAATGGCTTCTTCAACTAACTTAAATGAATTTATCTGATTTGCAGGGTGTTAGTACCAAAGGATGCACGTGTTATGCAGGAGCATAGACTTTTTGAGTATTTTAAGCAATGCTTCCCAAGCAGTTACAATATAGAAACCAACAAAGAACTCGCTTGTGCCTTAGCGTCTCTCCCTCCCTATGAAGTTGCAATCTCAAGGATAAAAGTTAAGCATCTCCATTATGAGGTTAGACAGAAAAATTGAAATCTCTATAACAAATATTTCCAGATAATTATTCTTTAGTTGGATGGCACCATAAGATTTTATTCTCTTTAGCTACTTTTTCCTCTAATGTGCTGAAGATAAAACATTTTTCTGACTATTCCCATTTGGCCAGTTGGCCTATATGGATATCGCACTTGCAAATTCTTTCGCTCAAGTGTATAGCAAATGTTCAGTTAAGCCCATATTATATTTTTCAGTTATTGTTAATGCACTCGGTTATTTTCTATAAGGTTCCAAAAAGTGAAATATTTCACAGTCTGAATGCTACAATAGTTGGGCTGGCGGCTAGTTCTCTGGAGCCAAGGATGAATGGAAGTTGCACGCCTTGGTGTTTTGGACTCGGTAATAAATATTCCTCTTTTCAGTAAGGCTATATATTTCAAGTTATTTATCAGAATATCCATAAGAGATCTCTAGAAATGAGCATCTGTGACGTCCCAAAGTTTGCCCATGTTAATTTGATGCTAATTTTAATATTGTGGTGTTTTTATGCATTTTCACCTAATTATATGCTGATTCATCAGCAAGTCCATTATGCTGGTAAAATTCGAAAAGAATATTGTTATAAATAGCGGTAAATAGCCCCGCAATAGCGGCGCTAAAAGCGTTAGCGGTCCCTTCCCGCTACGCTATCGCCCAATAGCGATAACATATTGCGGAGTATGCGTTTTCCGTTTGCAAAAGCAGCCAATAGTGTGCCATAACGGTAAATAGTGGGCGATTGCATGCGAAATCCGTTTTTTGACTGCTATTTAAAAGCGATTGCATACTCCCGCCACCTCTCATAGCCTCTGGCACCTACCTTAGTACTTCCTCTCACCTCCTTTACCGTGAGCTCCTCCTAGGGCAGTCCTCTCACCGCTCAGCTCTTCTTCTCAAAGACGACTCCTCTTTGACTCCTTCAGTCATCTTCGGTATTACGTAATGGTTACATGTTTATTTCATGTTTAGGGTCTCTTTAAATTATCAAATATATACTTTTAAGATTTTTTAAAATTTTCTTTAATCTTTCTTTTTTTAGTATTTATACATATCTAAATTGGACCGCTATTTGACTTTGCGTTTTTACCGTTATTTTGCCACAGTAGCCCTAAATAGCCTTAGCAATGTCTCACCGCTACGCGACGCTATCCGCTATCGCTAACCTTATTAGTTGCAAGTTCCAAGGAACAGGATAAATTCCGTTATAAATATGCTGCTATTAAAAGCATTAGTGCAGAGGAAGGTATGCAAATATGTATCTGCATATCCATAAGAAATCTCTACAAATGTGCATGTCTGAAATCCCAAGTTTACCGATTCCAAATTGATGCTAATTATAATATATCCTTGTGGTATTTTTATGCATCTTCATTGAATATATGCTAATTCATTAGCATGTGTTAGTGAAAGTGAGAGAAAACACATTTCCTTGTAACCATTCGAAAAGAAAGTTGCAAGTTTAAGGGAACGTGATAACAGCATCGATGAGGATACTACTAGTAAAAGCTTAAATGAATATAAAATGGGCATAATGAAAAGAAAAGTAATGTTCCACGTCTTTATGAAATCCTTATTTAAGATATTCCTCATGCTCTATAGTTAACATCACGCATGAGGCCAAGTTGTGGCAGGAAGCTGTTTGCCCTACATGTACTGAACCACGTCTAGTTCCTTCCCATGATGAATATATGTGCATACGCACATGGGGTTAATTAAGAAAAAGAATAGAAAAGAAAATGTCAGCCTCCTTCCACAATTTCCAGGGAGCTTGTCATGACATTTTCATCACTGATAACCCGATCACATAAATATTTGCAGTGCTTTTGCTATCTTTTTAATGTCTCTCCCACTTCTTGCTGCTAGTTCTCTTTCCTTTTTAGATCTAGTAAAGAACGGCAGTTTGCGTATGTATATAATGGTTCCTGCCCTGTCCTCACGTGAAACTATAACATAAACATTGGAGAAATGGTTTTCCATTTGTTTCACGATTTTATAGAGAGCTAGCCAGTCTTGAAATATTTCATCATTGAAAGCTTTCTATATAAAACTTATTCGTTACTGTTGGTAATTATTGTAGTCACCCGCTTCTTCACAACTGATTAAGGAGTTCTTCATGAATATTTTGTTGTTAAAAGATTTATAACCTAAAATCTTTGCAGTGTTGTGTGTGCGTGCATCCTAAAAATACAAAATAAATATACATGTCCACATGCATAGGTACAGCCTGGAAGAGTTCAATAACCTATAGTCTTTCATGTTCACTATGTTTGAGGAGGTATATTATACATTTACTTGAGGTTCTCCCGGTTTATAAAATGTCATTTTTTTGATAGAAATTACATTGCATATATTTTTTTACTTGCGCTATTGTATTCTTAATATCATTAGCTCCTGGGTCAGGCATTGTGAGAGGTGTGGACGTTAGAAGAGATCTCCTTTATGTGATAACGCCGGTTCCATGTCAAAGCCTAGAAAAAATTGATCTTCTTTTGCTAGGTTATATCGAAATCCCCATTGGCTTTCTGCAGGTAATTTTTCTGGTTGCAAGTAAGATTCGATGTTTCATTGTGCTATTTTAGCTAGCTGAATATAACATTTGTTGTAATTTGTTTGTTCAGGCAGGTGGACTTGTCTCCCCTTATATGTCTACTAATGTCATGCACAAACTCTCGGCCAAGGATTTGTAGAAAGCCAACTCTTTCCTAGAGGCTCATGAACTGAAATATATGGCAGTGGCTTCTCGCTGTTCCATGAACATGAGAGAGAGAGAGAGAGGCCTCGTGAAATAGACAGAAATACAAACTAGTAGCAATGTTGCTTCTGATGATCTCGTCGCAAGAAATCAATTTTGGAAGCGGAAATTTTGGTCTTGCAAGTTCAAGTGATTGGTGACTAGGGAATAGTTTTCAACACCGTAACTGGCTAGAACTGTCTGCCATCAGGATAAACCTGATGGTGATACTTCTGCATCCAGCAATTTCAGTAAGGAAGCGAAATGTTTGTGTTTGGAAATTTGACTTAAAACTGTTTCTCATACTGATTTAAGGCAATTCCATGTTTTGATAGATTACAAGTGCTGATAGTGTTACATACTGGCTTTTGGCTCTGTAGCCTCATGTATAAGTTGATCTTCTGACTTGCTGTATACTAGTGAATGATTATATTAACTCCGGCCAGAGGATTAATTAGAGAATAAACTGCGGGGGTGGGGGAGTAAAAACTGTTTACATGTGCTGTACCTAAAAAGTTCGGTTAACCAGTTTTGCACAAGATGGCAAGACTGGAGTTGAGGCATAATCCAGAACATTGGAGTTAGGCTTGGTTTGGTAGAGGAGGAAAACGAGAGGTGAGGGGGGAGGGATAAAAGCCAGATTTGCCTTGGGTAAAGAGTATATAGAAGGGGAGGTAAGAGTGAGAATAGGGGAGGGGAAGGAGGCTACATCACTACATGAACTAAAACGTTAGAGCGAGAAGAACACCTCTAAATTGAGAGGACACAAAAAAAAAAAAAATAGAGAAAATAAACTACGAAGGTGCAAGTGTGATGACTTAGAAAGGGATGTCTGTCAATTCCTCCATCTCACTGCGCCTCTCCTCCCATCACCTTCCATCCTCAAACCTCCTACCAAACCAAGCCTAGGTTCTACAGAAAAAACCCAACGGTGGTAAATCTAAAATCGGGCATAATCCAGAACATTGGCGTTAACAAGTCTTTCGAAGGTCCAACAAATTCATGCACCGCTATTCTTCGTTTCTCCTGAGATCACAAGCATACCAGTACCGAGTCCGAAGCAAAATAATAAATGAGTAACTTGGCCAGAGCTAGTCTGCCTGCCAGCAGAGCGGTACCATCACATCCGACGTGAATGAAACTTACTAGCCCTTGGTTCCAAAAGAAAATATATCAAATAAATACCTATTTCGCCAAAGGTGTTTTCAAAGAAAGGTACAACGCCAGCAATATCTTTCCTTGCTTTGTCATTGCTGCTTCTTTAGCTTAAGAATACAAATACACATGAACAACAAAGTGCCTCTCGAAGTCCCTTTAACCTAACAACCCACAGCAGAAGCAGCAACAGAACTCCCAAACAAAAGAATGATAACAATAATAATCTCTCTCCACTAACCAAAAACTCCTCTTTTCTTCCAACATTTATAAAACACACAAGGCAACAAATCAACACTTTCATTTCAACAGGGCGTGGGAAAGTGATGGAGACTACAAAAAATAGTCTGGAGTCTTCCGGGTGGTATCTGGCTCAATCTGTCTTGGTGCCGGATCGAATTGAAGGAAATTCTGAGACATATTCTCCCCAATCTCTAATATTGCAGCCATGTTACCACAACGGTAACAGTAGTTCGGAGCACTGAATACTGTAACCACATTCTTGTCCTGCATTATTCACGAACAGAATATACGAAATATATTACGATTCTAGTCATTTGGGGACCAATGTAATCACCAGTGCAGAAGCTAATGAAACCTTTTGTTGCAGATAGACCCCCGGTACTATCATGTAGTTGCAAATAGACCCCTCGTAGTTTTATAGCTCCAAATAGAACTCCGGCCCAGTTGAATTTGTAACTCTTTTAGCCTCGAAAGAAAAAAATTTATTTTTTTGACAATTAGAACTCCTGAGGGTAAAAGAGTCCAAAAAAATTCATCCACAATAGGGCGATAGTCCAGGGGGTCTATCCGCAACAATAGAAAATGGGCAATAACACAGGGAGTCTAACTGCAATTAGCCCTTTGAAAAATCCCTGATGGCAAAACAAGAACAAGGATGCATTTTGTACAAGGATACATAATAAACTAGTACTAAGCTGACCCACCTGACACCAATTGAAACCTTCCATAACTAGTTGGTGAGCTCTAGCTACTAGTGAAAGACCATTTGTGTGATTGAACTGTTGTGCTATGTCCTGTCCAAATGTGTACCCTGCTCCTCTCGGTGATATGCCCCATCCACATCGATCATCTGGATCCGACCACAGAAGATCGCACATAGGCCCTTCATGTGGAACCTACGAGCGCAAACAAAAAAGTCAGTGCCCCTAGGTAGAAAGAAATAAATGCAAACGAAAATGATTAAACATGGGAAGTATAATAAATTTGTAAGCAATGCTTATTGAAACAAATACTAGCACATAAAAGTATAATTGTAAGCAATCTTTTCCTGCAATGAATCTATCGTAATAAACTCAATTCAATATACTGACTTTTCCTGCAATGAAACAAATACTAGCACACAAAAGTATAATTGTAAGCAACATACATATAGTTTTCCTTCCAATGTCTTGCTTCCCTCTACAATGGCATTTGATTAAATGGATTGTTTAGACCAGATAATTTAAGGCCAGAGAATCAAGAACAAACTCGGCAAATGCAGAAGGGAAAAAAATCCCGCCTCCTATCAGCTATGAGTGGTATTTTTGTCCCTGGATGGCATGATGTCTGACAGGATTGAGTATAAGATACAGCGTTTATCTTCTGCCATGCAAATTTCATGTATGCAGACCTAGTCGCATCCCCCCTCCTATGTAGCACGGACACGGATCCGACACGGCCATCCGATATGCCGACACGAGGCAAATCCTAAAAAATACATAGGATACGTGTGTTCGACACGTGTGTCCGACACGGACACGACACGACACGGCTTCATGTTATGCGTGTCCGTGCTTCATAGCCCCCCTCTTCCTATGATTAATTGACTGGGCCAGGATCACTGCACTGTTTTTTGGAATGTAACTGAAAGGTTGAAAGCTTTAAGCCTCTAACCAGAATTCATCAATTTCTTTTGATGGAACGTGTTTCCTAGGGAGTTGCTCCAATTTAAGTTACCCTGACACCTCGTCAGGGCTCCAATATCTGTGTCCAGCACGTGTCCGCCTCGAACACTCCTTAGGCACTCCTTGAATATGCATACATTTATTCCGACATGGACTCAATTATATAATACATGTTTTAGTTTAAAACACACCTCCTACACTCCTTGGATGCATATCTTACACTTCACATCCACTTCCTGCAACTCGTTGAACACAGGTTGAGCTTGTTTCAGCAAATACCCAATTAAGGAGTATGATTTCAAAGGATCGTTAGGTACCTAGTTTAAAACGAGCATTTTTTCCAATTTATAATCGACTTAATTAATAAACATGAAAATGTTATAGCAATTTTAGTTTCCATAGCAAGTAAAAAAAAATTGATCACATGTAGATTATTAATTTCAGTGTGTATATATGGTTGTGTCTTCGTATCCTAGCTATCAGATATTTGTCATGTAAGAAATTTAGATGGCTAAGATCCAAACCATACTTGGACGACAATAAAGAACAAATAAAATTTCTTCACTTAGGGAAAAAAAATGGGAAACTCTTGATCTGTTTAACAACTGGAGTTTTTATAAGATGATTTCATAATTGAGCAGTCGAAGACAAAATAATGACTAATTGTTATGATGTAAATAAGCAACCCTAAAATACTGGTGAAATTTGTTCTTGCAGTGTTGTTGCATCCTTGATTTTTCATTCCCAAAATTTATTTATTTGGATGAGATTAATGGGTATCATTGTCATAGGAGATTTCCCTCCTTGTCGCTTATGTGGCACAATCCCCACCATCCTCATAAAATAGGCACAAATCCCCACCAACTCACACTATCTCTCCTACTTTATGAGGATGGTAGTGATTATGCCACATAGGCATCAAGGAGGAAATCCCCTCCTATGACAAGGATACCCATTAATCTCTATTTGGATATTGTCAGCAATTACATCTTTTTGCTTGCAACTGAACGGTCAGCCTTTATTAGCTATCCGATTCTCACTTGTAGTCAGATAAGGTCAATGCATGTATCCCATATTTGTTTCTTTTGAAAATTTACTAGATTTCCTTTTTGATATTTAAATATATCCTTATTCATATTTAATAAAAGAATCCGTATATAGATAGCAAAACCTTATTTGGGTAGTATCAGGTCAGTTTATTTAATTATGTGAGCTTTAGTTTCATGTTCATGTCATAGTTTGGAATGTTCTAGAAAGAAGAAAGAGAAGGAAAAGTACCAGACTTCAAAATTGTATCAAAATTACAATTTTATTTCTCCCAATTAGAACAGGATAGTGTCCTTATTTTCTCCAACGTTTTACTATCCACTATTTATATGAATCTACAAATGGGTTAGTTTATTAAATATATGGATTCATTTACCAAATATGGATAACCCTATATTTGATCAAACATAAAAAAAATAAGTACTCTAATTTATTGTTATCTTTTTATTTCCTCCTAGGGTTCAATAACCAGCTAAGCTCCCTCAGCTGACATCGGCGAGAGCTTCCATGGATCAAAGAACAGAGCTCACTTTGGCATCAGTGGCATTGATCCTTCATTACCGTTAATGCTGATAATGACGTCATCAGGAGCGAAAACAATTTTTATATTTTCAGTTTTTTTCCTAACACTGTTGCAGAACCACAAGTTTTATTTATATTTGCTACAGACCCTCTCTAGAGCTTTTAGAAAGAATTACTTTCACCCGAAAAAAGAAAATAAAGTGAGCCTTTTCCATAATTTATTTTTGAATTATTTTATTTGATTGTTTTAAACTAAGTATGTATATGTGTGTGTATAGAGAGAGGGAAGGTCAAGCTCCTATAAACTTAAGTTAGTAGTGACCTCAGTCCACCAAACTTTTACTCTGTTGGGTTTGTTTAAAAATTGTACAGACGTATGATGGGATTTGTACAAAACTAGCAACAGAAAAAGAAAGCAGAGTAAGTCTCTGTTAGTTTGAAGTGGGCCTCACAAATATCTCTCTCTTCCATTTTCTCTCTTGCCTTCTCTCTTATGTTACTATCTCACAAGTCATCTCTCCTCTACTACACCGCCTCTGGTGGGGATGACACCGCTGCAACCACTACGAACGATGCTAACTTGCTCTTGCCCAATCGCTTTCGTATTATCCTCAGTCCCGCCGCCCACTAACCTCACCTTCACAACTGCTGCTTCATCGCACCACAATCGCTGATCTGACTAGAGAACTATAATCTATCATCATACCTCCTGGAAGCTCTAATGTACACTGACTTGATCTTACCGATGTACTTTCGTACGTCTTCTTCGAAAACTTCTCTTTAGCAGAAATTGTCTCGTCTTTAGATCTCATTGTTTGGGTGACTTCTTCAGCTGTTTTCTTGATTGAAGAGTGAAACAATCAGAACCTCTTCAACCTTGTAACTGATGAAGAATCTTCTGATTTCAGTCAATTTTATTACTTGGGACCAAGCATGAATACTTGGAATCTAGTAGCAAATTTGAGAAAAGAGTTAGGATCTGTGGGAATTAGGCAAGGTTTTAAATGTCAGCCGACATGTCCGACATGTCAGCCGACATATCGGTTTGAGAGCTTGAACGACACGACATGAGCGTTTTCAACTCATATCGATTTTCAGGGTCAAATCGAAAATATCAGGGCCATATCGGGCATATCGACCGATTTTTCAGCCTTAAAAAATCAACCGATATGACCTTTTTTAGATCTGTTTTTTGTTATCGGGTTTGAATTTAGTGATAAAAGCTCAAACCTGTTTGACCCGTTCTCATGTTTAAGGGTTTCTTATGAAACCGATAGAAAAAAAAAGAGAAAAATTAGGGCTACAGCGAACTTGAGAAATGATCACTCCTTTCGTGGATGACGATGTCATTACCCCTCCATCTCGGACCCCCGTCATCCATCTCCTGTTACGCCCCGAAATCCGAACTCCAACCAAACCCAAGGGTGGTAGGGTATCCCGTCGTCGGGATAAAGGGAAGAAGGTAGTCGGTGACTCATCCGAAGGATCACAAGCAAACGAAGAAGAGCTCCGATACCGTCTTCTTGCAACGTCTCGTCGTCGGTACTACCTCCCTACGACGTCAAAATCCACCCATCGCCGGTGCCGTATCTAGAATTTATAAAGTATGCTTATATTGAATTTAGGAATACTTAGATTACATTTAGGACATAATATTATACATATGCGCACCACCCGATATGGCAATTCGATATTTAGTCCATGTCCCCCGATATATCCCCGATTTTCGCTATCCGACATGGATTTCAACCATCCGACATGAACCCGATATCCGACATTTAAAACCTTAGAATTAGGATCAGTGTCAAGAGCGAGGGGTTGTTATTCTTTGAAGAGATTGACAAAGGAGGAGAGAGAAATGTTGGTTGTAGCATTTTGAGGGGTATTAAGATGAATTCTGATGCCACTATTTGTTATTGGCTAGACAGAGCTTTAGCAACAATCGTTAGTACAAATACTTTACAATGTCATTCAAACATATAAAATGTCAAACTTGTACATCCAATCCGGACATGATTTTTTTTCCTCCTTAAACATGCCACTAAATTTGTTGAATTTGTTATTAATTGTGCTTCAAGTTGGAGATTTCATCAAACACCTTGTAAGCATTAAGCATAATATAAAACAAATTGAATCAGCAATTCTTGGTTCTTATGTGCCTTCAGTTACATACAATTCAATATAATTCATCTTAAATTACAAACAATAAAAACATACAATCTATCATTTTGTTAAAACATTAATTTCAATAGAGAATCTTACCCAAACTTACCTATTACTTGCAAATTGCAATAGAATAGACAAGATTAGAATGAAAAGAATGTGAGAGAGAGAGAGGTCTCAGAGTTTAGAATAGAAGAGGGAAGGGGATGGGATTTGTGAGAGAGAGAGAGAGAGGAACAGAATAGAGAAGGTAAGAGAGAACGAAAGAGAGAGAAAGATATTTGTGGACCCACGTCAAACTAAGGAAGAAACTTATTCCGATTTCTTTTATTGTTCCCTAATTTGCTCAAATCTCATCACACGTCTGCACAAATTTTTAAGTAATTCTACATATCAAAGGTTTGGTAGACTGAAATCTCTGTCAACTTATGTTTGATTGGAGTTTCTCTCTCTATATATAAACACACATATACATGAGAAAAATGTAGGAATTTTGTACCAAACACAAATTTTATGCTTAGTAGTGAGATGACTAATTTCCATCCACTCTCTAACTCTTCTAACCCATGTGAATGTGATCACCCATTTGAATGGGTAAATAGTAATGAGTCACCTCACTACCAACCATAAAATTTATACTTGGTACTAAGTTCCTCCATATTGCTCCATATATTGAAATTTGATAATATTTGCATTAGAACATATTTAAATTTTAATTGTTTATCCAAGAGTTGAAAACATAAAATTAAACCAAAGGCCATTGTCATTAGACAAACACATTTAACACTTTGACCTGCAATATGAAGCATTGTTTATTTTCGGGGATGGTACTAATTTTATCATAAAATCTTTAAAGAGAGTATGTAGCAAATATAAATAAAACTTAAGGTTTTACGATAGTAAAGAGTAAATAAAATTACATAAAAAGAACATTTGCTTTGAAGGTGTCAATGTCTAACACTGAATATGTCTAAGGATCACCACCAAGGATGCTAAAAGGAGCTCGCGTCATCTAATGCATGAAAGCTCTCATTGGCAGCAGCTAAAGGAGCTTTGCATGCAGTTGAACGCAATGAAAGGGCGAGGCAACAGTAGATTAGGGTACAAACGAACTAATGCCAAGATGAACAGTTTGAACTTTCCTCTACACAATATCTCATCCCAGTTTAATATTCAGAGGATGCAATACTAGAGAACTAGAGGACCTAATAGCTATCTTAATGACTTGATTAGTAATTCAAAATATTAAAGATTTAAGGGACTAATATTAAAAAAACTTATTTTAAAGGCTTACAAATCACAAGCCTACATGTGTCTTTACAAATGGTTAATCTAAAACAAACAAAATAACAATTTAATGAGGCCTGCCTAACAGTTGTCTCATGTGTTAAATTGTAGTGAGAATTTCAAATTTGCGTTAGGTTGCAACAAGAACAGGTCAACTAACCTCCTCTGTGGAGCAATTACAGGGTAAAAATGAATTTGAAATTTGAAATTTACATTGGCTTCTGCACGAAAGTTATGATCGCAAATTATTATAATCATCTCATTATCGCCCTCTTTTCTCTCTCTTGCTCTCCCTCCTAAATCTTCAAGCTGATTACACATATTCTCTCCTCAAATCATGACCCCACGAAGCTCCGACGACGACACCTATTACTGCATTTGCCGCATCAGTCGAAAAATCTACCGTACGGGAATTATAGATCATAACAAAGTCAGCACCAAATCTACGTACGAAATGCTTAAATAAGTTTTCATCCGATGTGGTTAAACACCAAAAGAAGTCAGTAGTAGTGTCGTAAGGAAGCTGAGGCTCAACGGTGGGCAGCAATTGAGATGTGGACACATAGGTTAAGCTGAATTTACTATTGATCCTTGATATCTCTACTTATCTTTAAATTCTTTGTTGTTACTAATATGTTTGTTTGTTATGGAGCTCTATTGATAATGTTAATACTCTATTGATGATGATGTTCCAAGGATGAGCTATGTTAGAAAAATAAACCAGATTTGATTTTGTGATTTTGATTGTGTCGATAAGTTTTATTACATGTATTTTTGGTCCATTGGCTTATATTAATGTGAGGAAACTAGATTTGGAAGGGTTTTGGATTTTCTCTGACTTCAATTGGATCAAAGTCCTACGCATTTATGATGCATATTAATGTCTAACTAATTACTTTCTTCCTATTTATGATTCAAATCAAATTAATTATATCTAATTAATATAATCAAATTCTTCTTTCATTAATTTTTTTCACGTTTAAATAGATTTTAATCAAGAGTTTTGTGAGATTTTCATTTTCGAGAGTTCAAGCCAGAGTAAATTTGCATTTTGCTTGCACTATAAAAGTAGAAAGACAAAGTGATAGAAGTTTAAAATAATGTATGTATATTGAAAAAGACAAGGTTATTTACCACATTTTTACCACTATTTATATGATTTAATTATAAAAAGAAAATAAAAAGGATGAGGAAAATAGTGGACATCATGGTCACATGGTGAAGGTAAAAACAAAATTTCTCTAAGAAAATCATGTAACCCCCTCTCTGCAATCCGCACATCCCCTGTTAAAGGACATTTTCACTATAAATAATATGAATTATTTTAAATCTTTTTTGAAACGAAAATATGCACACAAAAAAAAGTTTCATACCACATGTATTTGACATGTAAAGTTTTTTATATAGTTGTATATATACTACCTTATAAGGACGAGGGTGATAAAAAATTGAAGGAAAAAGAACAAATTCTCTCATAGGTAAATATCCAACAAGGGAAAATTATAATTTTATATGGCACAAAAAATAAAGTAAGCGAGAGAATGTTTTTTTCTTTTCATATTTTCACCATACTCTCACTCCACTACTCTCCTCCATCTAAACACATTATTTCTCTATCTATTTCCACATCGAGCTTTGAACTTCTATTTATTTTTTTCCAATCACTTGATATAACTATGACAATTTTAAATTTTTAATAGATGACCTTCAAAATCTAACCATCTATCAGCTTAATTGCATCAGAAGTTTGTTTAATTGCATGTATCATGTATCTATCTATATATTTTATTATACAAAAAAGATCATGTGAAGTCAAAATTAACATGAATGAGAGGAAAATTCTTTCTTATTTCTCTTATATAGCATGAAAGAATTCACACTCGAAATGTATTGCAGTCTGTTATGGAACCCAAAAAGCCTACAAGCACAATATTAATGAAGAATTGAAGATATAACAAAATATATCTTCTATTGATAAAATCACAACTTGAAAATGGAAGAGAGATGTAGGATGAAAAGATTGATTTCTTTGGTTTTCATGTTTCTAGCCTATGGTATTGCTTGCATCTTCACTCAATACAGAATTTATGAAAAATATTTCTATAGTCTTGCATGTGCATCCTTGCTCCCTCCAGTCACATTTTTGTGATTGCATTTATAATCACCTTTGCAGACCCCGCACAAGCACACAACCAGGACCCAGGGCCATACTTCACCCTTGAGGATGGTGAAGGGCAAAGACATACACACAATCCAAAACAGTCAGCCTTGCAGGACACGTAACAGTTGAATGTCTATGTGAAAAATATCAACTTGGAAGTATGATAGAGTTCGTGTAGAGCTAAAATACCTAGAACCAAATCCAATGACACTCTGTTCTATGAAATCCTATCACTGTTTTAAAAAACCTCCGTCTAGTCCGCTTAGGCATACGCCTAGACCTAGGCGGTACCTAGACCGCCTAACTAGCGCCTAGCGCCTAGGCGGTATTAAGGCTGCCCACTTAGATTTTACGAGCGTTTAGGGGAGCATTGTCTGCTTACGTAGATTGCACCCTATAGGTCTTGATTGTGATTTTATGTGTCGTAGCCTACACGTCCTCCAAACTCTATTAACCTCCAAATATGAACATTTTCACTACCTCCTCCGACCTTCAGCAAAACCTCATCGACCACCACTTAAATGAAGAAAGAAAAAAAAAAGCTCAGAAACTGCTTAGGCGCCCGTCTAGGCGACTAAACGTTGGGCGCCAAGTCCGACGCCTAGAAGCGCCCAGCGTTTAATGTAACATTGAATCCTATGCTTAAATGCATTAACCATAATCAGAGGCATTTTGTAAGACTTTTGAAGGGGATTGATAAAAGTGGGAAACAAGATCCAGTACAAGTAGTTCAATGGTCTAAACACAGATGTGTGATATGGTTCGCCATATCATCAAAATATGAGAGGTAAAGACATTGCTAAAATGAAAGAAATATGGAAAAACTATTTTTCTAAAGTTGATCTCTCTCCCCATACCTACCAAATACAAAGACTGAAAGTACCAAAATCCTAATTATCCACAAATCAAGGACAAAAAATAAAGGTACCCCAGTGCATGAAGCTTCTGTTATGCCTAGGTCTGAGAAGGAGTTGGACTACTTTGAATCTATTGTATACAACCTACCCTGCTTTTTTACAAGAGGCTGTTTCCACAACTCGAACCGAACTCACATGGCGACAATTCTTGGCTCCCCTTAATCAAGGACAAAAATGTATGTATGTATATACATGTATGTGTGTATTGAGATGAAAAAACAAAACAGGAACAAAACAAACTTTTTTATAGGCCTTCTCTAATGGTTTTTAGTATTCAATATCTATCATATCATATGCATGAGCTAGGTGTTCATGACATCATTTAGTGTTATTATGTTCTTTTTAGTAATTGCTAGCTAATGACATTGTAGAGCAATAACAAATTTGACACATTAGACAGAAAAACTACTGAGAACAAGCCAATAGTAAAGTGCATACCTCCTGTATACGGTCTAGAGCACGAATATTGTCTAAAGTATCCAAGGATGGGGATAAACCACCATGCAAACAGAAAACCTACACCATATAATCAACTTAATTTGAGAAGATAACATAAGGTATTAATTTAAATGAGAATAGTAGGCAGTAATCTCAAACTCAGACCTGGTTCTCAATAAGAGCCGTAAGTGGTAAATAATCAAATAGGTCCGTGAAATACTTCCACACGTTTGCATTACCATACTTTCTCAAGCATTCGTCATAGAAGCCATAGCTGAAACGAAAACACCAAAGATTTATATTGTAAAAATCACAGAAACAGGTATTATGAAATTTATAAGATTAATAGCTATAGATTCTATAATGAAATAGGATAAATAAGTTTAATATAATTGCACGTGCAAGTAATACTAGTATCTCATAAAATCTCTTGTCAATAATTAGGCTAATTAGTTTTTCTCTCTTGTCCATAGATCTCTCTTCTAATTAAGTCCTACTTAACTTATCTCCTTACCTTAACACAACTTATCTCCTTACCTTAACACATACTTTGATCCTCTCTTTCTTTTTCCCTCAGAAAATTTTTTTCCTTCTCTGAACTGACAAATTAAATGAAATAACATTGCACTCGTCCTATTACTCATTCTATTTTTCAAAACACTAAAAGGGAACCATAAAAGGAATAAAATAAAAGAAAAAAATATAAAGATGGCTGTGGATTGTTATTTTAAATTTCATTTTTTCCCACCATAATTATTCTAGCTTCTTTTAAAAGAATTGATTTTGCACATTAGATGGTTAAGAATTGTTATTTTTTAACTTGATAATTAAGTTCCATAAGTGTTCTTTAGTATTCACGTCTGCAATTAAATCTTGCTATCGTGCGTGGGTGTACATGTGCTCTGAAAATACCATGTACAGTGTGAAGAGATCTAATCACCTAATTTAATCAATACAACATGATTTTGTTTGCTATATATCCCATTATTGTAACCTCATTTGCATGGTAGCAGAGTTATGTTAACCGTAGTCGAAGAACATCATGCAACCTACTCGAAAGTTCTAAAAGGTGATTAAATTTTATGCAAAGAAGAAAAATGGTGTACATAAAAAAAGCAATGGTGTATATTAAAGCAGACTTCATGAATGAAAAGAAAATAATGTGCTGCTGCACATAAATCTCGATTAAACTTCTTTTTGATTTTAGTTACGAGAACAAGAAATAAAAAGAAGAAAAATTTTGATGGACAGAATTACAACAAAAATTAATTCAGTTTATTTTTGTTCTGAGAAGGAAAGAACAAAAAGAAAACAATTTGTAGGAATTAATTCATTAACTTTTTTTTTTAAAATAAAAAATAAAGTATAAAAAGGTTATTTGGGAGGATAATTATGATGAGACAAAAGCCTGTAAGAAATTATCAAAAGATAATTAAGTAGGTAATGGATTCAAAAAGAATTATTTTTCTTTCAACTTGGTCTGGAACAGATAGAACAGGTAATAGGATAAGTAGGTAAAGAGAGAAAAATAGATAATGTTAGTTAACTAAATAACAGTTCCAGTTTGGTGTTCTTTTCTTTCATTCGTTAGTTTGGAGAAAAAATTTAGATGAAAACAGAAAGAGAGAAAGAGAGGATTGGAGGATGAGTTAAGAACTTAAGATAGATGAGAAGAGAAGTTTATTAATATCTAATTGGTGAGAGAGAGAGAGAGAAACTACTTTCACCGTTTCACGGGCCTAATATTCTACATTGAGGATAATCCTACATACAAGGTGAAATGGGTGACAAATTTTATCAGTGTCAACATCAGGATAGAATCAGGAGGCAATCTTGTGATAGGACCTATGTCCAAATGTTGGCCATAATCAGGGGGCAATCTTGTGATAGGACCTATGTCCAAATGTTGGCCATAAAATGTTGTGGCATCATGGGGAATGAACTTGGTGGTGAGATGCTACAATTGCATTGAAGAGACTTCTATTATAGATGTAAATTGCATCCGGTGGCGGAGAATGAGAAATCATATCATTCATCCATTCACCATTTCCTCATATATTCTATCAAATTGCCTTTACAACAGTTTCATCTACTCCTCAAAGCTCGTATTCAAGCATGATTCCTTCTTGGTACTAAAGGTAAGAGAGCATAACCATATACACAAACATATTATATTTCAAAGGCCTAAATTAAAGAATGACAACGTTAAGATATGCCCAAAATGAGTTAAATCAAGAAGGATAACATAAATTTATTAGAAGGATGCCCCATATGTCAGATCATGAATATTGCAGTCCGGATATTAAATATTTCTAAGTACCAGAATATACATAGAAGATTTTATCACCAATATCCTACATTCTCCTCACCATTTTCTCTTAATCAGTAATGAGCTTGACGCTCAAGTTTGTTATTGTAAAAATCATTGGAACTAAAAGGTCTTAATACACCTATTTGCTTCTAATGATGCAATCCCTTATAAATATTCACCTCCCAACAAAAGGACAACTCATGGTTCCTAGCTGAGCCTTTATGCAGCAGTTTATGGTCTTCGTATTCTCATGTAAGCTGAGTTTCACTTCTTCTATGCAATAAATAAAAGATGTCAAGATTGAAATGCCACAACCACAACGCATGATGCACTTTCATCTTACTCGATAGCAAGTAAAATTTGGGCATATTGTTAATAGTTCTAAAACATTTATTCATTTGACTAATACGAACACCACATGCATACATGACACACCTTTCATGACTCTATCGCAGAAAAGAAAAAAATGTTCTTTCAAAAATATGACTAAATTTGTTCGACTTTATCACATCGATATTTTACTCACAGGACTAGTACTAATTTTTACTAGATGTGTGAGGGTTACTAAGTTGATTGCTAGCAAAGTCAAAAATCTAGTAACATCACTGCAGAAACAAAACCATGACAAAAACCAATTAGGCAATTACTCAATTCAGCTGTTCAGGTAGAACTACATAATGGCCGTTTAGAAAAAAGAATCAGATTCAACATTCCACTAGCAACTTGTCAGGTCCATTCAATAATTTAGCAGATATCATGATTCTGTCAACGAAATTGAAACAGAATCCTTTCTAAGGAAACAAAAGGAAGAATTTTTTGATACATCCTACACAAGGACCACAAAGTCCATGAACTCCTGACCAGCCACAATAAAAGCAAGAGAAAGCACAAAAAACAAAGATGGTCAACCAATTAATTTTGCGGTCCTTCAGAAGTCGCAACCACTATCGGTATTTAAATTTCAAGTTCTAATCGCTGATTTTACATTGTTGAATCCACCATAAGTTTGAAACAAATAAAGTGAATATCACACTTACACTTGAGTAATTTGCCGGCTCTCATGATTTCCTCTTAGAATTGTAATCCTATCTCTATAACGAACTTTCAGGGCAACCAAAAGTGATACAGTCTCCACGGAGTAATAACCACGATCTGCATGAGAAAACCATTGTTACTTAGCTATGCTTGTAATTTAAAGTTTGCCATATTAATGTTGAAGAGTGCAATAAAACTAAATTATTACCAGATTCTTTGACAACATGCACATTTATATTTTATGAGGGAAAAGTGGATGTGAAATTTCTTCCGTATAGATCCCATCATCCCTTAAAAATTTGCATACTAAACAATACCTTTAAATTTAAGTTTCAGCCTCCATGAAAAAAGCACACAAAATTCAGTTCAATAATAACACTCACAAGTCATATGCCATAACCTTTCTAGTAAAGAGCTCAGTTGTATAAGTGACAGAGTCTAGTCAAGTTGTTGAATGCTTTGTCAAAAATGGGAGCGGCAAAAACGAGTTTCTAGTAAAAGACATTTTCAAGGAGTTTTATCTACTTTATTTAATGTGACAAGTAACGCATACCTAAATCCGAAACTGAACTAGCCATATTGTATAAATTATTAGATATTACAAACTGAACTAACTGATTGTACAGTAAAAATCATTCTCATCCCATTACTAGCTAGGGTATCATTCATGTCTTCCTCTAAACCAATTGAAATCATATGGTATAAAACAAATTTAGCTTAATGTTACATGTACATTATTAGATATTACCGCTTGAACTAACCAATTGTACAATCAAATCATTCTCACCCCATGACTAGTCACTATATTGAACTTCGAAAACATGATGATATCTCAAGAGTTAAAATGTATACTAACGCATAAAAAACCTCTTAGCTTAATCGCTTGCTTATAAATGACATTTCTACTTACATCTAACAATTTCTAAGTCGAACGAAAAAGAACAGCAACCATAAGAAACTCAAACCTCCAACTTTTACATTAAAAAAAAAAAGACAAAAACTGACCTACATAATCCCCCATAAAGAGGTAATTAGTATCAGGCGCATCTCCTCCAATCTTAAACAACTCAATCAAATCGTGAAACTGGCCATGGATATCTCCACAAACAGTCACCGGGCACTTCACCGGCTGAACATTCCACTCCTCCATCAAGATCGCCCTCGCCTGCTCGCATAGCGCCTTCACCTCCACCTCCGGCAAGAACTTGCACTCCCTCAGGTGCTCGATCTGGCGATCGAGATCCGAGTACGAAGGCATCGTCTCGATCGCCGATCTGCGATCTGATTCGATCAGATCGGCCGAAACTGCGGGTTTTGTGGATGAATAAAGAAGGTGAGTACGGAAATTAGGGCTAGGGTTAGGGGCGGGGTTGGGGGAGGGGTGCGAGAGAGAGAGGGACTGGTCGAAATTGGGGGATTTTCTTTTTCCTGGGTTTGATTGATTCGGTGGTTGCTTGCATCCATTTTGGGGATTCCTTTTATTATATGAAAAATGTTATAAAATAATAGAAAGAGACCACGGTCCAGAAAGTGAAGAATGAAAATAACAAAAAGTTAATTCCACATAAACCCCTAAACTTTGAGAGTATCTCACATAATTTTATTTATCTCACCTAACTTTTACGAACTTTTGGGTGTCTCACAAAACCAAATAGATAAAAATTTAGTTAGAGAAAAAATTGCAAAAGATTAACGAACCCATGAAAGATAAAAACACAAACTCTAGCCTGATGTCACAATCGAGTAGATGATGAAGACACTATTCTAGAATTGCCCGGCAAAAAGATAAAGGTGAGGAAGGATTGAACTTAGCTCAATAAAAAAATAGTAGGAATAAAAGATAATATTTTTTGAATATTTAATAGAATAGTTTAATTACTTTGAGTGAATTTAGGAATCTTTAGAAATAAGTTTCATGAGCTTTTTTTAGTACTTTTATATGCTTGTGCATGTACTTTTATCATATGAAAGTATAATAGAGTTAGTATTAATCTTTAATTTATAATTTTTTATGGAGTCTATCAATGATTAGGTACAAACTTCATATTCTCTTTTATATCATTTTAGCATACTTTTAACCAATTATTTTGCCTTATTGGTTTTAAATATTCACCTTCCTTATATAACATTGTTTCAATATTTTTTACTTTTGCAACACTGTATTCTCACAAGTAAATCTTGGTTTAATGTCAGTCAAAATAACATGAAAATTTAAATTAGCTTTAACTTATATTTGTTTTCTATCAATTCAAATATCAATATAAAATTTAAATTGGGTTTAGCCCATTTAAACAAACATCAAAGAAAATAAATAATCACAATGTTAAAGTTTAGAGACAAAAATGAGCATAAACTATTAAAGTGGAACTGAGTAATAAATTTTAGTTAGAAAATTAGCCAAAATACTTAATCATGGTATTTAACCATGTGCATTGCACGTGTGTTAAACCTAATATACACATAAAAGTGAGAACAATACGTTACAACCAAAATCTATCTTCTACACTCAAAATTAACTATCTTGGCAACCCTATTCACCCCCTCTTGGCTTGCATCTTAGATCCAACAAGTAGTATCGAAGCCTTGTTACCCATCTTTAGGATTAACTGCCTAGGGACAAATTTTCAAAACCAACCCTTTTACACATTTAATTGTAAAAACCGACCCATTTTCATAATAATTGCAAAAACCGACCTGTTTTCAGCCCAGCGCTGAAAATAGGTCGGTTTTTGTAAAAAAATCTCCGAAACATCACGGGAGTTCAACTCCCGTGAAGTTCTATGAGAGATAATTAAACTTCACGGGAGTTTCAACTCCGTGAAGCTTAATTCTTGCTTAACAACTCCACGGGAGTTGAACTCCCCGTTGGAGGTTACAGTCAGCAATTCCAGAGAAATCGAGTCTCTGGTAAATTGGTGACTCGCACTTTCACGGAGTTTCAACTCCCGTGAAGGTTGGCAGTCAGCAATTTGGCCAGACTCCGATTCTCTGGAATTGTTGGCACTGGCACTTCCGACGGGAGTTGAACTGCCGGTGAGTTTGGTGCGGCCCATATTTAAGCGCGTGACCCCCGACCCCAGACCCACACACAACCCTAAATATTTGCAGCCTCTTTTCCCCAACGCCGCCTTTCGAGATCGCCACCGCCATCCTCCGACCGGCCGCTCAGCCTCCCGACCCCCGGCCGGTGCCCTCAGTCCGACCGCCGCGCGCCGGCCCGCTCCTCCGAACCGGGCCGCTCGTCAGATCTAGTCAGTTTTTTTCCAAAAAACACGGTAAATTCTTGTCAAAACAAAAGCTTATTACCTCTCTAATCTGTTCGCTATAACTCCACTAATTTGATTGTGATTATGTAAGAATTTTATATTATAAAATTATAATTATAAAATTCGTTATGCAATTTATGAAGAAATGTGAAAGTAGATGAAAATTACTCATAATGTGAAAATTAGAAGGGAAAATTAATCAATACATGTGAAAAATAATCAATGGGAGTAAATTATCAACATTATTTGTGAAATTTTGTGAAGGAATTATGTGTAATTTATCATAATTTTGCTGAAACATTGATGGGACATTACCATAATTTCGAAATTATGTATTTGAGTTAGAAATTTATTGTAGAATTATTTAGATTTGTGAAGGTAAAAATTTAGATTTTAGATATTTACATTATGTATGAATTTAAGATTAGATTTAGAATTTAATTTATGAATCTTTTTACGGAATTTTTTGAAATTAATCAAATTAATGTGGATAATTAGAACTTACTACCTAATCATGTAAAAATTAGTAACAATCAATATTTGATTTGGGCTTTCGTGTAATATTCGATCATTCGAAATTTTTTACTCTTCAGGAGGTAAGATCGAACGATCGATTGTAATTTCTGTCTTATGATGGAAGATTAATTACCTCGAGAAATAATATCCCGTATACTGAAGGAGGAACGGCGACGAAGACCTGTTGTTCATGCCCGACAAAATACGTGTACTTTCGATGAGTTGGTTAATGATATACACTAAACATTACCATTAACTAACTCACTGAGTATCACGCATCAGTGATGGGTTTGCAATTATCCCTGTTGGGGGACAGACAAGTGGCATCAAGTACTTATCTTCGGACCGCTACGCATATGCGGTGCTCATTCATCGTCTTCAACATGAGAGAAGCGTTCGTCGAATTGTTCATTGAAACAACATCAGCCAGCGATTTTCGGGCCAAATCCGGTTTGAAACTACAAAGGAATGTATTCGCGCACTGTTGGAAGGAACCCTGAAGCTTGATCTCTGTAGGCATTTTTATCGTCGCTTCAACAAGAATGAAAATGTTGGACACGAATTCACAATAGCATGAGCGGTCGCTTCGTTTCGTGGGCACTTCGAATGCTTTCGATACTACACGGGAATTTCCAAAGAAGCATAATGCAAGTCGTTGCATCGAGAAGTATGAAGGAAGAGCGAGGGATTAACAAATTAATACATGACCGTGATCAGATCGTGATGAACCGAGGGGGAAACCACACATGACGGGGCTTATGCTAATAATCGCGCTATGTGCTTAGCAGGAATACCGTCCGCCCGGAATGAAGCCTTCAAGGGAAGAATGAAATGGATTGATAACTTCCCGCGACTGGAAAGGTGTTCTATTGGCACTCATACGGTCTTGATTAACAGGCGAGGACTTCTCTACATTCATCAAGCCGGAGATCTTCTACGAGAGTCAACGGAAGAAATTGATTCGCAATGCTATTCGCCACGTATTCATTGCAAAGAAATGTGAGTTTCAGGCCTACAATATAATACTCACAAGCTACTAATGCTGGTTTTTTCTATCGGCCAAAGACTGACGATGTCAGAAGATAACTACGTGGGACCACCACGAGCTAATGGCGAGATGTCCGTGGAAAGCTTAAATGTCCACGGCTCTGGGTTCAAGAGTTAGGTGGTCAATTCAACAACATTCACGCATACAATGGACCACACGTTCGTAGCAATCTCGATTAGAGATGTAATAAAAGATCTACGGCATACCATGGACTCCACACCTCTATGGTACAGTGCACGATCCGGCCTGGCCACTGCTGGAGGATTTTGGTGTTATACGGCCGCACATACGTGGGGCAGTGCGGATTTGCATAATTTGTATCGAGAATTGAGTAGCAGTATTCCTGATCAGAATAAAGATATTCATGGGATGCTGTACGTTGATACATGAATTTGGTCATGGGAGCGCATTCCATAATGAAGATCGACTCAGCTTTTACTTTATGCACGGACTTAGAGGCGCAAGTATCCGTCACTGAGCTCATAAACAGGTATAGCTATTGTACAATGTACACCACATATTTCATTCGTCAACCTGAATTATTATGTACCTTATACTTATTCGCCTATTCTGCAGTTATAGGTACTACGTGCGATTACCGCTCAGTTACAAATCGCAGCGACCGCCGTCACCGTCAGTTTACCAGAAATTGAGCAATTGATGGCCTCCCAGCATGAACAGGTAAATCAATATACAACTCAAGATAGTATGAAAATTATAGTTTTCTGTATGATACGATAAATGTTTTTATTTCATTTCAGTTGTCAATAGTGAGACCCTATAACCCGCCGAGCTCGATAATTCTCTTGGCACCTATCTGCCCGAATAGTCCTGGCGTTGTGTGAGAGCCAATAGTTTCATTGATCCTGTTGGGAAGATCGTAGAATGCATGTACGCTTTAGAGGACCGTGTGCTACGGCAGTTTACACTCTCTCAGCATATTCGCAGATTCCTTGTCGACAGATCAAGTCAGTTCGGCGGCGCCCGCTGCAACAGTCGCATCGGACTTGGACTTGTGGTTAGACCTCAGGGGGGGTGGATTAAGGGGTCTAATGCAATCTAATGCCGATTATATCAATTTAAGAACTAATTAATGTAAGTTATCCTAGGCAAGTATGAAATGCCAACAATATAATTGAGCTAGGATAAGCAATATACAATGAGATATATCCTATATAGCAAGGATATATTACAAGCAACACAAGGGTAAACAATTAAACCCCCCCCCCGGAACCCTCCACCCACTCACACCAGACGGAAAGATAGTGGAACTGATATAGACTAATGAACGCTAATGACAATGGCGATATAAAAGATATGAACATAACATATGAATGAACGCCCAAAGCACACTCGGAAACAAGCAATATCGACACCGGAGTTCGGACCATTCGTCCTCGTCTCCGTCGCCCACTCCCGGGAGCAAATCCACTATCAACCGGTTCTAGCGTTTCACAAGCCCCGCCGACATACGTTTTACACTCACAGTATCCGTTTTCTCAACGGCTCACCCGATCAACGTCACTCTCCACACTCGTTTCTAAGCTCACCGAAAACCCCTACACCACTCGTTCTAAAGCTCACCGGAAAACAGGGCTCACTAACACACTCGGTTTCTAGCTGCA